TAAATTAAATAATAGTAAAATGAGAAGGGCTACGAACCCAAAAGCGAAACAGTTTAAAAGACGATGACAATAAGTGTCGAAACGTCGTTTGTTTTTATCTTGTTTTATCCATGTTATTGTTCTAATATATATTTATACATTTAATTACATTGTCATCGTCGTTCTTATCGGAAATAAACTGTTTCATTTTGGCTCGTAACCCTTCTCATTTTACTTTTATTTAATTTATTATTTGAGCCATTCTACATTGTTTTTTTAAAATAAAACTATATATTTGTCAGTGTTACATATAAAAAAAAATGCAAAAGTACATTTTTAGATTGATTTTAAAAAAGTAATGGAAAAGTAACGAAAAGTTATTTTTCGAGTAACGGTAACTGTAACGAGTTACTTTTAAAAAGCGATAACTGTAACTGTAACTAGTTACTTTTAGAAAGTAACTTTCCATTCCCTGCTTTTCAGATATCATTTCTCTCGCCTAAATGAAGGTATTTACCAATTTACAGATTGGTTGGAATTTTTTCTTTTTAAAATCCTATAGTGACTGGACTATAGGGTGTGGAAAACTAGAAAATTGCTTTGTGCAAAAAATTTAAAGAGCATAAAATCGCAATATATGAGAGAGCCAAACCAATAATCTTAAAGAAGTTCGAGTGGTAGTCGATATCCAATTTAGAGACTTAATTTTTTAATATGATGTATGATAAACTGTATACAAATAATCCCACAATTTGATCAATATTGACCGAATAGGTTTTTGTAATATTTTTCTGAAATTGACTATTTCAACATAGCGTCTTATGGGAGACAGCCGTTCTGAAGTAAAAATAATCACCGATTTATACATACTCAAGTAACTTAGGACTTTAAAAAACTAGGATTTGACAAATGAAATATCAACAATTGTGTACAAAACAGGACAATCGGATTTGACCATATGGATTTAAAGTTTTATTGTCACAAAGTTTATCTTTACCTCACGGATCGTATCAGTAGTAACAGATAATAGTAACAGACATGGCAACGCCGCAGTGCACAACTGATACGAAGCCAACAAAAGCAGCAATGACATTCTCTCTCCATTCTATTTTCCTTTTTGTACAAAATTGGCCTTTATACCGATTCTGTATTTCTCCCTTATAATTTGTCATGATAGCCATAATCTGTCACTGCCTGTCACGTCGCAAAGTGCAACGTTGCCAATAAGTGTATAGCAGTGTATACTCAACTTCTCGAGTTGTTGACAATCTTATACATTTACTAAGAATGCAGCATATAAATAATATCCACAATTTATTACACTAATATTGCGCATGATTCCGAATCGCTATAATGACAATTTTTTTCAGTTGCATTTTTGACTCTAAAGTAACGCTCGTACCTCCTTAATTTACAAACCAATATGAAATGTTTACATAATACGTTTCTATCCTTAAATTCTATTTGTAAATTGTAAACATTGCTGATATTATTATTTTTTTACTTTCAATTTCTATTTATTATATTTTACATTGTATCAGGAGACGCGGTAGTGTCTCCGGTTATGTTCAAAAACTGTATATACTATTCAAAAAAATTGAAGGATCACTTGTTCCACCCTGTAAAAATAGGCAAACTTTGAGATAGAATAATTTCGTCAAAAATCATTGTATCGAGATTTAAAAAAAATTTTAAAACATTGTAATCTCTACTTTTCAGACCTGTAGGTACTTAAAAAAACCGTATTACTGATATTTTATAAAGTTACACAAACATAAATAAAAATGCATCAGATCTCAAAATTTTTTACGAAATTTGCCTTGTAAAAATGACCTTTTTGCTTCAACGTTGAATAACTCGGTGAAAAAGAATCTTACAGAGATCGATAAAAAAAACCAAATTAAAGGTAAAGATTTACTCTTTCGAAAACTGTAAACTGCATTTGTGCACAATTTTTATTTGGCCCCGTGGAACTTCGCAAATTTCTTAAAAAATTCTTGGTTTGCACTTTTATTTACGTTTGTGTAACTTCATGAAATATTAGTAACATCGTTTTTTAAAGTACCGATCTGAAAAGTAGAGATTTTGAACTTTAAAATGCTTTTTTAAAAATCTCGATATGTTTTTTGACGAAATTATTCTATCTTGAAATTTGCCTATTTTTGCAGGGTGGAACAAGTGATCCTTTAATTTTTTTTAGTAGTGTAGTTTTAACATCAGACTCCATTTAAATACTCACTGTCTCTGGTTTAATCTTTAACTTCATACGACAATTTCTGTATCTTAATTACTGATTTTTGACTATTTTATTTTGTGATTTTATTACGAAATTCTCAACACTAGATTGGTGATTATTATGTGATTTATTAAAGTAAAATAAAAAAAAAATATAAATTTTTTAAATTTGTAGAATTTTTTAAAATAAATTTCTTGATTTCTTAAAATTTATGATAGGGATGATTGAACTTTTTTTAACTTCATATCCTTTTAATCAGCTGAAAATACAAGAATCACCAATCAGATTTAAAAAAACAGAAATCTGTAATACAGTGTTATTGCTTAATGATAAACAGATTATTATAAATAAAATATTACATATAAATGAAACATTAGCCAGATCTTCTAGTCAGGCTACCTTGGATTCATTGGATATGACCCGATATTCAGAGGATGGAGCTGGCGTTGACGAGAGAGTAGCTATTCTCGAATTTGAATTACGCAAAGCCAAAGAAAATATTTCTGCGCTGCGTGCTAATTTGACTGTAGTAACAGGTATGTATCTCACTTAAATGATAAAACATCTTTTAATTCATAATGCATTCTTAATTAATAATATAAAATTAAAATTTCAGAATTGGATGGTATATTGAAGGTACCAGATAAGAACTCTGAAAAAAATTTAACTACCGAAATACCCATAAAACCACATGAGCAACGAGCGTTGAATTTTCTCATCAATGAATATCTGTTGGCAAGATCGTACAAGCTCACCTCGATCACGTTCAGTGATGAATGTGAAGAACAGAATTTCGAGGACTGGCAAGATGTGGGACTGAATATTCCCAAACCTACAGAATTGTTGCAGATATATCGGGAATATATGAGAGCCAACAGATATGACAAATCTCCGTCTATAAGCATCGCCGTACAAACAGACTTTGTCATCGAAGATGTTGAGGAACAGAAGGATGAATCTCCAGAAATGGTTTGTTATTTTAATGAAGCTTCAGGAGTTTTAATTTGTTTAAATTCTGGATTGTTTAAATTTGCGAATTTTCTAATAGCTCTATACTTTACAGTCAGAACAGATTGAAAGGTTGCAGCAGCATATTACAGTGCTGGAGCAAGAGAGAAACACTCTCCAGGAAGTTATTTTGTCAAATAAGGAAATTGTTATGGAAAATCCGGTAAAGATATATTAATTAACCTGTGTTCTTTTCTGATTTTTAATTGATAACAATGGAAAAAGTTATACTGCAATATATATATAATTATATAATTATATAATTTAATTTATGGAGCATATATTGCAAAATTATTAATTATTTTCATCAGTCAAGAGCAAAGAGTCATTAGCGAATAAGGAATTAAAAATAAAAATTAGTACATATAAAAGTGAATAAAGACACTTAATAAAATAAATTAATTAAAAAATTTTTATTTATGATTCTTTTATGATATAATATCTTGTTTTTGGCTGATGAAGACTTAATGTAGTTCGAATCGTCACATTGTTCTCTTATAAGAATAAATACATCATATTTATAATAAAATATGCTTGTTCTTCGATTATAACATTTTTTCTATTACTTTTCAAGCATTAAGTTTTGAGTTTATTGTAATTACTATTTTACTTATAGTCAGGTAGTTGTGGAACTATCCGTACCATCAATTCCAACTCAACAACTCCTGACAAGTTTGAACTACTCGAACCATTACCAAGAGATATGTCGATCACTACTCAGGAACCGGAAGAAGATGATAGCGTTTCTGCGGTAGTTAGTCTGGACGAAACAGATCCAGGAGACAAAGAGTGGACTAGATTGCAGTTACCTAGATTAAATATTACAGAGAAATCCTCTGTCCTACCAACTGCATCCTCCAGGTTATTTTATGCTATTATACACATTTTATTTGTAAAAACGTTAATGTAATTTGTTTATTCAATTAGTTGAAATTAATAAAGTTAACAGGTTGAGAAATAATATAACATTAATATAAATTTTCTAAAAGTTACAAAGAAGTTAAATAATTAATACTAGAATCTTTTTACGACCGTACAATTGATAAACAATAATAAACAATGTATGCGTCAATGCTGAAAAACTATCAGCGTCGCGATTTTTGGGGGGATTACATACGCAGTATATAAAATTCACACAATTATAATAAGCACTGCGATCCAGCTTTGACCGTTATTGGCTTCCTTCTTCTTGGTTATTATTGTTTAAATAATTAAATCAATTACTTTAAGAAAATACGAAGATTTTATTATGTGATAATTTTTAAGTATTTAAGATATCTTAATTGTATATTTATTTGTGAACATTGCAGAGATTTACCAAGTAAATTCAAGTCTGAAATAATGACACACTGCATGGCGAATGTTTCGGGATCATTAATCTCCTCGGTGGGAGAATCATTAAAATATGGAATTACCCGGAATACATTAGTTGACATTTTAGCATATACTCTGCCACGCGTGGTACCCAACATTATCCTTAATAGACGCGAAGAAATTATTCCTCTGATCCTTAGTGCAATTCATCTCCATCCCAATTACAGCGAGAGGGATAAGTTACTACAAATGCTATTCAACTTAAAGAAAAGACCGCAAGAGGATGAGCGACAAACGATATTGGCCGGTTAGTAAAAATGTACAATTCAATTATTGTGATTAACATATTTATTAGAGATACAATAAAATTCATATTTTTTTTTTATAGAAAAGAAGTTGCGCTAGTATAATATATGTTGCAAAGTATAAAAAAGTACTTATACTTAATAAATTTTTCATTTACTGAATAAATCTGTTGTTGAAAGTTTATTTTTATATCAGGTTTAATTGTTATGGCGAAACTCGCAGAAGAGTCATTGGAAACAGAAGAAATTCTAACGATTTGTTGGGAACAAAGTCAACATAAGTATTCAGAGAGAAGATTATTAGCTGTCGAATGTTGTTCTGTGTTGGCATCCTACACATCAGCTTCCATTAGAAACTCATTGATGCTGTCAATGCTGCAACAAATGTTATTGGAGGATAAAGATCCTGTTGTACGAACTAGTGTAGTGAAAAGTCTCGCGCTACTTATAGCTTTGATGGACGATCCTGATAAATACTTCCAAGTAAATATCTTGTTATTTAATGTATTTATCTATCTTTTTGTATATTATTTTATCTTTTATTGTTTTTATTAAAAAAATTAATGATAAGAACATGGACATGTATGAGTCGATAATGAGTTTTATACCAATTTTAAATCAAGGTATAAAATATTATTAAGTTAAATTTACAAATTAACAAAAACAAAATATAAAAAAAAATAAAAATATACGTGTCAAGACATTACATGTTTCGGTCCCTGGTTTGGACCATGGAAATATACAAGGTGAGTCGTTTCCGTGGATGCGCAGTAGCCTAAAAGTAGTGGGGAGCAGATGCAGCCAATCATAAATGCCCCATTTGGCATAAATCCAATATGGCTGTGTTTACTGTGCACAATGGGTCATAAGTGATTGGCTGACTACCACATGTCCCCCCCACTCTTTGCCACCATTATGCGCAACGACTCACCTTGTATCATGGACATAGAAATATAGGGACAGAGCATAACGTTGCGGGGGGGGGAAGCCACTGCGGGACGGTGCGACGAGGTAATACATGCCTAAGTCTGATTGGCTGTTATTGTACGCATGCGCAAATGACAAGTGTGATATATGAGCATGCAACTCTAACCTCTAACTGGATTCAAGTCTCAGCACCGGTGAAGTCTTGACATTTTTTCTCGGCTTAGCTCTCACATAATATCTTGAAATTAAAATGGTCCAATGTTGTGTACCGAATTGTAGAAATAGATCCGACATTCAAAATTGGAAATGGACAAGCAGTGTGAACAAAAATCGTAAAATTACATTGTAATTTATGTATTTATGTATTTTTTTTATTTATACTCTGTTCTCTGTTCCTTTTATTCTGCATAGCTTTTAAGTATTTTAATACGTATATTGCCTTGGATTATTATTATTATTAATTTATTTTAATACTTTTTTTTTATAAATGTTACTCTCGAGAAGAGCACAACAAATTTCGGTTTCACATTTTCAAGCAATATTACATGTTATGGAAAAATTTAATTCTATAATTTTTATTCTACGTAGTATTATATAATCCATCTATATAAATCTAAAATCCTAATTTGTATTTTTTTTATCTACACTAAGAAACAAATTTGTGGTGTTAAATTTTAATAAATATTTCGTTGAAATGTCCTAATGGAATATTTACTTATGGTAAATAAATATTTAGATAAATGAAAAAAATGATAGTTGATTCAAACTAATGATTCTTAGATCTAATAAATACATTTATTAAATGTTTCGCTAGAACTATTCAAAGAAATATTTATTAAAATTTAGTAAATTTTTTCATAATGAATAAAAGTACCAAATAAATAGTAATTGTTTAATATTGAATATGCGTACATATTTTTATTTTTCTCATTAGAACTTCTATATAATTCCTTCTCAGATTTCTAATTATTGTTTTATTTTGTTAATCTTATTGGTAATGGGTTACAATTAATTTTTTAACAACGAATTTTTATCATTTTGTTTCGATCATTTATTTGCGATTGGCCGCAAAGTCGATGTTACACGATACTGAGCATGCGCATAGCTGTAGCCAATAAAATTTAGGCATGTACTCCCCCCGCATTTCAGAATAACCCCCCTCGCCTATCTTCGGAGCTAATGCTCTGTCCCTATATTTCTATGTCCATGCCTTGTATATTTCCACCATGGTTTGGACCATCTTCAGATGATAAAAACGTTGAATAGAATGATGGAACTTAATTAAAAATCAAACGTCATGTTCAGTCAGTTGAAGATTAATTTTCTCCTTGAGTGGTACCAGAATTACTCGCAAACGATTGTCTGAACTAATACGAATACGAAGTCAGTCTAGCTGGATCTCTTACAATTAGATGCTTATATATAATTTCGTGTGAATTTATATATTGATAGGTGTGAGTGAAAGGTGAGAGGAGATGTTAAAAAGTTACGTATTTCGGACGGACGGACGAACAGACAGACAGAGAAGGACACGTTTCTTAATTTTTCATTAAAATCATCACTTTCCGACCGCTTGTATCTCCAGAACGGCTTGACCGATTAAAAATTTTTTTGGCTCAAATTACTCGTGGCAATGCCGCCTTTCAGAACATATAACGTTCGATTCAAAATTTTTTATATTTTAGTAGTTATTCACCCCCGAAAAATGGACTTTGGTGGCTATTATTAATTTTTTAAACTAATTTTTAAATTAACTAGTAGTTTTTTGAACATGGTCGGAGACACTACCAATGGTTACGTTCAGCAGACTCAACCGTTGCGGAGCGGATCCGTAAGCGCTCACTGTTATTGGTATATTCTTTTAGATCAACCAATAGCAGCGAGCGCTCATAGATCTGCTCCACACAGTTGAGTCTGCTGAACGCGACCAATGGAAAATTACTTTTTAAAAGTAACAAATTACAGTTACGCGTTACCGAGTAAAAAAAGTAACGAGTTACCGTTACTCGAAAGGCAACTTTTCGTTATTTTTCCGTTACTTTTTAAAAATCAGTCTAAAAATACTTTTTTGAAAGTACTTTTGCAATGTTTTTTGTTTAAATGTTAATAAAAGCAATATATATATAATGTATATACATATATATATATATACAGTAATATATATATAGCATAATATAACACTGACACTATGTATAGGAATTTTTTTATACTTTACAGAAAACTAGAAGATTATATAGGATTGTATAGGACTATCTGAATCACAATATAAGTTAGAAATTAAAAAGAAAATTAAGAAATACACATAACTTCTTTACTATAATAATAATATATTTATTCACTTCAGCTTTAACAATAACCAAGAAGGGGACTTGGTTTACAATATTACTTAACCTCACACATCCTTCCATACCTTATATACGCTCCTCCGCAAATATTACCTCATCCTAAATAACCTATTCGCTTGTCCTTTGGGCCACTAACATATTGCTAGCTTGTCACATTAATACATTACATTGCATTACGTTACGTTATCACAATTTTTATCACAATTTTACAATAATTTCTTTACTATAATACAGCTATATTTTTACTTAATCTATACTTTTAGATGTAAATCAAATATTTTGATAGAAAGAAAATTATAACGCTATAATTAAAATATATAACAGAAGTTTTGCAAAAAGGAGTGTTTTCCAATTGCTCAACATAAATGTACACAGAAATGTAAAGCTTTTTGCACAGCTCAATTAGAACAAAGTGTGTACTATGTTTAGTATGTTAGATTAAGTTAAACTAAATATAGCTTGGTACGCCTATATTAAATAAAAACACTCAATGTTCTACAACCACATTTATTGCTGTCGTAATTAATAACATATAATCAGGAGACGCGGTAGTGTCTCCTGCCATGTTCAAAAACTGAGAGACGCTACAAGTCTTTTATCCCGAGCCACCAAAGTCCATTTTTGGGAGGTGCATAACTACTAAAATATAAAAAATTTTGAATTGAACGTCATATGTCCTGAAAGGCGGCATCGCCACGAGTAATTCGAGACAAAAAAATTTTTAATCGGTCAAGCCGTTCTGGAGATACAAGCGGTCGAAAAGTGATGATTTTAATGAAAAATTAAGAAACGTCTCCTTCTCTATCTGTCAGTCTGTCAGTCTGTCAGTCTGTCCGTCCGTATTTAAGAACTTTTTAACATCCTCTTTTATCTTTCACTCGCACCTCCACCATCTTTGGCCTACCGGACCTCCTCCACTCGCCTCACCCCCT